GGTCCCCCCCCCCCCCCCCCCCCCCCCCCCCCACCTTCCCATAGTCCAATGCCATTTAAAATTTGTAGGAAATTCGAAGCACACACAAAGGGCAATAATTTAAATAAGTAAATAAATCAAACTGATTGTTCGCTAGCTTTCAATGTTTTGAATTATGGCTTTCTCCGATATTAATTTTCAAAAAAGTTTCCACCAAGACTATGGACGCAGTGAGATATTGAGATCAAACTATTCTACGGGTAAACTGTCGTTTGTAGCTAGTTTTATTCAATAAACCAGAGATCCTGAATCAATTTTACAGCGCCATTTTAATCAAAGCAGCTATAACGGAGGGAGTTAACTTCGTCTCAACTAATTTTCTGCTCGGCTCCAGTAAAATTTTCTAAATTCCATTAAGGCTTTCTTATAGCCATCATTATGTAACCTCTGGTTCTATCATCCCCTCCCCGCCACCAATGTTGACTCGAAGTAATCAATTTAGCACGTCATCCCTATCACTCATTACCAACCGAGCCCGTGACTTTCCCTTTGGCAGGCAGTATCTGTGACTGCTGAAACAAGTTCAGTTACAAAATTTGAATGCTAAATGAGCTGAGCACCCAAGTCGGCATGTAAATCGATATTTCATTTACAAACAGTAATTGCAAACCAAGCTGAAGTATAAAGACCGCACATTTAAATTTACAACAGCACGCTTGTTCTTTTAAAGCGGCCCAAAGGTAGCTAACTGTAAGTTATTATATGTGCTATCATTCAGTTCGCGTAAAGGTATTAAGTTGACTAATGCTAAGCTATGGATGTGATCAGGTATCTTAAACGAGGGAACTGATCATTTTTATAATTTAGTTCTATTTAATCTAATCATAGCAGAATAATGGTTTTGTGAGTCTTCTACGTTCTGCATGAGTCTTCAGGGAATCATAGCCTTCTGTAAGCAATAATTTTCATGTCATAAATTTGAATCTTATCAATTTGAGTTATTTTACATGCTCAAGTGTTTGCCTGAGGTGTCTTGGATAAATGTGAAATTAGCTTAAAGTTATTATTACATAACTCAACGTAGGATGGGTTGTATTTAATACAAATGACACGTTGAATAAAAAAAGCTTTTGTATGGTTGAATACAGTCACGGTTTTTGCCTCACCGTCGAGAATGAAATCTAGTTTTATGTCTGGTTAAAATTTGTTTGGAGTGTTTCGGCTTTTCAGTCGCAAATCATTCAACTTGGTAGAATAATACGCTATTGTGGCTTATCGCTTAATATCGTAAAAGAATACGAGCTGCCTCACTTCAACTTTGAAGGTAAATGTTGTGGCATTTAAGGTAACACTTTGCTATGGAAGTGCGAATCGTCTTACCTTTTCAGCAGTATGAGGTACCACTCATTATATTTAACATAGTCCCCTTCGAAATGTGGAACCTTTTCACCAAGTGACTTTTTATACCCTTTTTGAATCGGAAGACTCGAAGTAAGCCATGATGACACCCTTCATTTTATGAACAACTTACCACTTAAGCGGTTGGAAATGCTTTGATAAAAACTCATTTGTATTAAATGAGTGTGTTTAATTGAGCATATTGTTTCATATTTATCATCATTTTATTGGACTTGTTTCCAGTGTGGGCCTTCAAACCCGTTGCCATTGAAAAATTAAATGTGGGGAAGGCTAGTTACTCTATCAATAGGCACAAAGTCATGCAGTTTGATATTGAAAGTTTAATGATAACTATCAAAATGCCTGCCATTTTGATAGTTATCATTAGCCCCTTAGTTGACTTCGGGCTTCACAGAAGGGAGGAACACGAAAATGAGAAAAATTCGACAGGAGAAAAGAAGAGACAGACAGACACAAAGGCAGAGAGAAGGCTAGATGAGTACTGTGAAAGGGGTCGAATATGACATACAGTGTGGTGATGGTAGTTTGAAGTCAGATAGTTCTGGTAGTTTGAAGTCAGAAGTCAACTGCCAGTTTATATATATATATATATATCGGATTTCTTAAGTTGTAACAAATTTTCCTAATTCAATCAATTTTGATCAAGTTAGCCCTGAATTTTTCCCCTCTGTTGGGACAATTTTAACATGCGCAGTCAGTCACTTACATGAGCACCTTCAAAATGGGCATAAGGTCATTAATAACTCAAATCACCTGTTCGATTATTAAGTTTTAAAGGAAAGTAAAGTCGCGTTGCCGACAAAAATATTGAATAATTTATTAGAAATTGTTAAATTTATAAACATGACAAAATAGAGCTGTCAGAAACAGTGATAATCGAATATTTTCATGACAAAATGGCCCTATTTTGTGCTGATGCATTTTTCTAAAAGAGAGAAAATCGATTTAATGAATGGAATAAATGAATAGTGAAGCTCTCAATTTAAATGTCTGCCAACGTTTTGTCAATTTTATCATGAGGGTGTCGACCAATGGTCAATAAAGAATTTTGAGCCGTCAATCAACATACGCAGACACCACGAATTGAACGTCGGTGGCAACATAGCATGTTCTCTACGGATACGCCCCAATGAACCACTTGCATTCTACAGAGCTCACCGCTGACTAGATTAAGCCTGCAAACTAGACTATCTCCGCCACTGGGACCGCAGCAATCGAGCTTTGTTCTTATTATATTTGCCTTGACTAATATGCACGTTCACCATATAATGCAGTATATGTCCCATAAATTGTCGGACTATTCGTCTTTCGTTGCACTAATAACTAAACCTAAGCCTTAGAAGTCTGATTTTTAGATTTTAGCAAATTGCATCAACTTGTGACTTGGGTTCAGTTAAAATTTATCAAATTACCTGCAATACGGAAGTGGATTGCCTCTATTTTTTCCTTAATTTGACCAACTTCTTGGGAGTTAATTGAGAGTTTGGCTTCTTGGCTAATTTGAAAATGTTTGACTTCTTTTTGTTCTGAAATTTTCTTTTCCTCGATAGTTGACGTGCGAAAATTCGAGTTCGTAAAAATTGGTGGAGAGGGGAGTGGATCGGTTTGGTCATTTGCAATTTCGTCACTTAATGTGAACGACGTTTGGTGCTTTAGCTAGAATCAAAATAAACATCCAAAAATAGTAAAAAAATCGAAAATTTAATTCCATAAGCTATTAGTATTGCATTGAATGAGTCGAAGAATATTTGTTTGAGAGGGTTTCTATTTATCTAAACTAAGTAGGCTGAAAACGTATAGTAACAATGCTTTTGCAAATGGGAGTTATAATAGAGCTCAAAATGTATAATCTAATCTTAATTAGACCTTACAAAAATCACATGAAGCATCACTGGAAGGCAAGACATGGCTTAATACCAGTGCCTAAGTGACTGTCCATCATCCCAATCACCACAAATGCGAGCAGCCACGTTGTTACAGGGTCGATCGTTTCTATAACCCAATAACTGTTTTGTCTCTTTTGATTAACCCCGTTCTTGATGAGGTGTTGGAATTAAGGGGTTATCGATTTGAAACTGGATCAGTTCATATACTATTGGGAGTTAGAATGTCAGCTAATGCATTTCATTTTTAATAAGGTGCTGGGAATCTTGTAAACAAAAGAAACTGATGTTACTTCAAGTACTTATTAGCTCAAGCAAACTGGTTAGGTTCTCTACTGACTGAAGTATGCTCAATCCGTATTTAGTTAGCCTTCAACCTTTTAAACCCCGAATTATCTTTTTTGAAAGATGCATCCAACCGTACTCAAGCGTATATCGCAGCAGACTGATGCCAATGTGATAGGTTTTGGTGGTATCAGGTGAAAGCTGTAGACGTATTGAGGATATTTTAAACGGCAATAGCGCCTACTACTATAAGTCTAGTGCCAATGGAGATCATTTTTAAAGGTGACCGTACGGTCCTAAGAACGCTAAAGAGTTGAAGGTGAGAATTAAAAATCCATTAAATTCCCCAAAATTTTGTTAACAAATTCATTGTATTATATTAGTCGATCGAGAAAAATGCTTGCATGATATCCTCACAATTAAGTTTAAGACGACAGTCACCAACTCGTTTATGATCGTTTTATGGTTCAATAATCAATCACAATAAATTGTATATTATCAATCAGTACAACCTTAAAACCCCAGTATTCTAGGAACATTTTGCTGAAAAGATGTTTAATTACTGGCATTGTATAAGCGAAAGCCTGGCTTACATGATGATAAAAATATTATTGTTAAAATCGTAGGCAACCAGATAAAAATTATAACTAATTGAGCTGTGTTTAAATGAAAAGTTACTCGCTCAACCTTTTGTTTTTCCGAGGTATTTGAAGGGTTTGGCGGTGAAGGAAGACTCATGTCTGACGATTCATCACAAGACCTTAGTTTTTTTGAAAGACTCTTGTGCACTAAGGAACTTTCGAGCTGTGAAACACCAGTTAACCGTACCACGTTCTTACACTTGGAAGAATAACCAGGCACTGTCGGAGGGGAAGTCAGATGAGACGCCGGTTTGATTGGTGCTTGGTTCGATTTCCTTCAATCAAAATGCATATTTTTACTGAAGGCAGTTTAAGTAGATCGATTAAGAAGTGGTAATAGCTCCTTACATTAGCTTGAATTCCCTTCTGAACTTCTTAGAAAATGCTGACCATACTCGTTTAGAGCTCGAACTATTTGTATCTGATCGTAGGGAGCTTGCTTTTACCCATCTTCCAGATGTATCGATCATTGAGCGCTGATTCAGCCGTTGAATCTCCTTTCTAGAGGTCCCAATTGGTGATGTTACAGACTCTTGAGTTAAAGAGGAACTTGAAGATGATAAATTTAAGGGAGCTGGAGCAGTGAGACATCTCCAAGGAATCTGTGGTCTGGATCTTCCTGGACCAAGTGGTTCACGGGGAATTGCCACCATTTCAATATATTCCTCCTTGGTTAAACACTTTGACGTAGGTTTAACTGAACGTTTAGGTTTAAAAGGTGGTTGGTGTTCTTGAATAGGACTACTGAAAGTTAGTGGTTCCGGACACTCAGACAGTGTCTCCTCGGTGTCCTTACCTGTAACATGGAGAATCAGTTACTGATGCAAAGCGTATATAGCGTTGATAATAGCATACTGAGACAACCACATGTACCATTAAGCAACAGTCGATGAACGTTTTGAATTCAGTTAGGCAAAATTGTTGACCTTTCGTAAACTTAATAGAGGCTCTAATAATACGATATTACGCAGATATAAGTTAGCCATGGCATCGGTTTTGCTTAACGAACTATCATAGATCCAGAAAGATTCTACAAATTAATCATTGAACCTCAATAAATAAATAGTAAATTTTAATTCATTGCGTCTTTTTATCTGAGAGGATTTTTGGCTATTGTCATATTTTAAATTTCTATATTATTGATTAAGACTAATGGGCAAGAACAAATACACAATTATGTAAATCAAATAAGGATTTTTCTTTGACAACGTGAGTTGAGCACAACGCTAATTGGGCTGAACTGAAGAATTCCATGCGCGCAGGAATATTCTAGAATGGACGCATGCTACTTAGCCCGACACCATCAAGTGCTGCCGAGCTGCCCTTCATGTTAGAGAGTGCATTTGGTCGCGAGAGAAGAAACGTCACAGCCAATCAACAATCATTACTCACAGCATGGTCAGAACAGTCAAAATTGTATTTAACGATTAAACACCTCGTCAGCCCACAGTGCGTTAGTTTCCCCTATATTTTTGAGGATAAATCATGGCTTATTCGCGTAGTAAATCGTTGCAAACATCAGTCTCTTCATCTTCTCATCAATGAATAAATCTTTTCACTCCTGTTAACTTAATATTAGCGTGGCAAGTGGGAGCGCATCCATGAATAAGGACTCCATCTTCTGGTTTGTCTAGACAGTCAAGCCAATTGTATGCATATTAATTCTTATCTTAAGTAAGCATAGTGGTCTTGAGTGATTGTGTTTTATTATTTCATTTCCGAAATGAAGTAGGAAGGACAAAAAGTAGTCATGAAGCTCAACAGTTCTACATTTGCTCTCGATTTATGTTATTAAATAACGTAGCGAGAAATATTTCCACACCTTATAAGATTAGGTGGTTAAGCTTGTGTCTATTGGTACAACGATTGGGCACTTACGATCGTTTAGATACAGTTTTCTTTGAAAACCTATGAGCGCTTACCTGATGTTTCTGGTATTCGATCGAAAAGGACCTCCTTTAAAGCGCCTCTCGTGGCATTCGTATTGCGCTGCCTGAATATGCTAGCACTGTAATTATTAAATAATGTTGACATACTACTTTGAGAGAATTAAGTAACAACTTTTATGTGAACTAACTATTTCGGTTGTGGAGTTAAGTTTCCAGCGGTAGGTGAACTCGAAATCTCCTTTAGTTGATTTTCCTTGTTGTCATTGTCCAGATTCTTCAAAATAAAACGAAATTCTGAATATTAATTTTCTGCCGCAACTGATTCTGTTGCTTAATCTAATCATCTTTGAATGCCTGATCAAGTGTATTTGTATCTGCTACCTCTCTAAATAAAGATTTTGAAGGTTTGGCATAATTGTAATTTACTATAAACAAAACTAAGTTATCATTTGAAAGAATGATAATAACTGCTCTTACCTGATCCTTAACTTGAACTGCTGTATTGTTTGAACTTGAATATGGACTAATTGAGGCACTTGTGCTCATGGTCGCTGTAGTTGAATGTGATCTACCTGAAAGACCTTCACACCAGCGACCAATTTCTTTTTGTCCTTGTACTTTAACTTCAGATGTCTATGAAAGCAATAAAAATTTTAATAAATAATTTCAGCGCGAAGAGATATGGCAGTTGTGAGCCAGGAATGAGAAAATCATTGATATTGGGGATTTAAATGTTTTAACTAATAATCAAACAGCAAATCTGATTCATTTCCAGCTAATTGTTCTTATATTTTAATAACATTTATCCATTTTTAAAGTTGGTATAAAACTTTCAGTGTAATTGGGGAGGAGAAATTACTAATTTTGGTATATATATATAAAGGCAAACATTGCATTAGATATAAATTGAGAGGAATTTAGAAAGATTCTCTTGATTTAATTTTTTATGTCCTTGAATAAGTTCGCTTCGGTAATTTTACTCAATTCGTAATGTAATTTCACATAGGGAATAAAGAGACGGGAGTGAGGGGTTGGAGGAGGGGGGGGGGGCGGATGAATTCGCGCGACTGCAGCATTGATTATCGCCCATTACTCTGACACACGTGGCAGTTTCACAAAGTTATAATCGATAAATCGACCTTTCCACTGATTGAATTCTCATGGTTTGATGAGTCATCTTACACGTGAGAACGTATTAATTAAATTAATCTAAAATAATCATGAAATAATAGAAATGTAGGATTCTTATATTTATAATTTTGCGCTTAATATCAGAGCAACACTATTTTGATTCGACATATTTAAACAGAATGCAGATAGGAGTATCTATAACCTGAAACTCACCCAGTATGTTTGTACAACACCCGAATATAGGTCTTCGATGGCTCCTCGGATGGAAGGATTTCGTCGAAGGGCTTTCTTTATCACAGGTCGGATTCTAAGTACCAAAGATTCTTCCTCTGAGATTCTATCTGTTGGAATATTCTTCTGTTCCACAATGTGAACAGACCGATTGAACCGATAAGCTCTACTGGGTTCCAGCAGCTCTTGCATTACCCTAGCCATTCCATAGACATCTGAAGCTGGGGAAGGCATAGAAGTATTGTGAACTGCGGAATCTGACGAGTTGGTTCCACTAAAGCTACTAATGTAAGCTGAGTCAACCCGGCAGTTAGAGTTTATCTGGAAGTTATTCTGTGACTGGCTGAACACGACGACCTCAGGTGCTAACCAGGGCGCCAGTTGAAGAACCTCTTCCTCTGTCATTTTTTCAACGGAAGTTTGTCCTCTGTTGACACTGAATAAAAGAATAGCTTCTTATTTCTAACTCTGTGCTTAAAATTTATCAAAACAGAAAATTTGTCTATCTTACGGATAAGTAAGTGCATGCTCGAAGTTAGCAAGTTTTGCATGATGCATATCGGTCAGATATATTGCATGCGAACTTATCTTCGTATGCACGATTCCAAGATGTTTCAGATAAATAAGAGCTTCAATAATCTGTCGAAGTATTGTCAGATGAGTACTTACATTCCTTGGGGTACTCTAAAATTGTATAAAAATAAATATTTATTAAATACAGGTATGTCGGTTCTTAATTGATAAAAATCTGTTAAAATTAAACCGATATAAGCACTTATTTTGGAATAATTAGTAATAAAGCCTGATCCATGTTTACAAGATGTTATTAAAATTATTCATAATAATACAAATTATACTACACCTTGTCGAAAATTATTGAATGTAGGCAACCACCGTGAATATGTTCGAAAACCAGGATTGGAGTTTCGGTATTTGAAAGTACGGAAGAAACTCCAAGAAGTATTAGTATATTTGGATGCCTCAAACGACTATTATAAAACAGTGATGAGTGGAAAGGAGTCATTACCTCAGCCAGTAAATTTCTTTTTGAGCACGCCGAACAGAAATATCAAAAGATGTAGAATTTCTGGTAGGTCGGTCAGCAAAACGCTTCGGAATACAACGAATTGAAATCGAAATCCCCTTCCAATTTTTGCTAAGAATGGCTCATTAATTCAACTCATCTACTTACTTCTTAATAGTGAAATACTTCCCTTTAATCAAATTGTATGGACTTATGTTTGACGATTGTAGCTCATATGTTTCAAATATTGGAATATTATCATTAAAGTTGTCTCTATTCTACAAAGTCAAAACTCTTACAAGTTACTTACTTCATCATAAAGTTTACTAGAAAATCTCGAGGCAAGTTTATTGTCATTATCTGAAGAATTGCGCCACAATCCTGACCAAAATTTCCTATTTCGGTCGCCATCATAATGACGCGACATTGCTTTATAATATGATGACAAATGAGCTTCCTTAAA